CAAGAAAATGTATATACCACTGCGGACACAGAATGTCGACGTTTAACGTGAAAATGTGAAGATACCATGCTTGAAAACTGTAATTCGAAACGTGTTCAAGAAATTTTTATAATCTGTCCTGGAATAATAAGGAAAGAAGTAAAATTTAACACTACAATGATCGGTCGGGTCAAAAATGACCCAGCAAGCAACTTTCCAAAAGTGAACTTTTGTGAAGTTTATTGAAAAATTAGATTCATAAGAATGTGCACAATAAATAGAAGTATAAACGGAGAAAAAGATTTAAAGGAAAAGTGAAATTTAATACTGGAGAACGATCGGCCGGGTCAAAAATGACCCACTAAGCTATTTTCCAAAAGTGAATTTCTGTGAAGTTGATTGAAAAATTAGATTCGTATGGATGTAAATAGAAGTATAAATGGAGAAAGAAATTTAAAGGAAAAATAAAATTTAATACTACAGAACTATCGGCCGGGTCAAAAATAACCCAGCAAGCAACTTTCCAAAAGTGAATTTCTGTGAAGTCGTTTGAAAAATTAGATTTATATGGATGTAAATAGAAGTATAAACGAAGAAAGTTACGATAATACTTACCTATTACCGAACATTCGCTTCTTTGGAAAATTGCTAACGGGTCACTTTTGACCCGAGCCCTTCCCAACTCCGAGAAATAGCTCGACGAGTCTTCCACGTCATAAATCCAATCGCACGAACAAAAAGAATAGAACACAAGGGCGGATATTTAATACTGGAAAAGACGGATTGCGTGATCGTCGAGCAGCTAACACTCTTTTTCCCCTTTTTTTTTTTCCCCTCTCTTCACTCGATCAACGTTAATGCAGGAGGCAGGTGAGAAGAAACCTTTCGATTAAATGCCATTAGGTCGATCGTTCTCTGTCGTTATCGCTAATTTCCCTTTAATCCGAGCTTTCGCTTGGGTTTTAAAATTCTCTGTGATTTCCCGTCTGGTTTTTTTCTAAATTTCACGCCATTCCAGGCCGCCGCGAACGCGTTTTCCAGTAATCTATACTATTTCGCTTATTTCAGATAGTGCAAATGGAGTTGAGAGTACACGCGTAATATTTTATAACGACAAACAACATTCGCATTTATTATTCGTCAGATTTGAAAGCGACAATTTTTCACATTTGCTGAAAAAAGAAAGAGAAACAAACACATCGTTGCTCCTTTCAATTCGAGGCTATATTTCTGTTACCCGTCAAAAACTACACGCTTCTCGTTCGATCTTTTTGTACCTCTGGTACAAAAATCATTACACACACACACACAGGAATAGAAAGAATGAAACGCACACAGTTGACGAAATTCGGCTTCTCGATTCCCTAAATTTAGTTCCACGTTTCGGTTCCAATTTTATGGCACCAACTAATTTCGAGAATGTTACCGGTGACTTTTACATCTACGGGAATTAATTCTAATTTTAACGAGGCGGAAAATGGAATTGAATCAAAGTACGATTCCCATTATCGTGAATTATCCTCGAATTTTCCAACCGCGGAAAGATTGTATCGATTTCGCGTACCATAGAAAATTGTAACGGCGAATAGTATAATATTTCGGGACAGGGTGAACCAAAGTTGGAAAAGTCGGGAACGCGTAATCAACCGACGCGATACGAAACGTGTATCTATACGTATGTACGGTATGTGTAGCATCAACAGAATGTTTTGTGTCTTCGTTTTCATTTCGAATCAATATTTTCATAGTGCTGCCGGGTTTCCCACGGAAGTCGCACGATGTCTGCAAAGATTGATATTACGCGGCGGCACGCGGTATTCCCGTTACAATTGTAATTAAGTAAATGTTCATTTCAGCGAATAAACAGACGTGATTCCGGGGGAAAAAGGGAGGAATTCGTTGAAAAAACGTTGCGAAGAGAGAAGAGCTGGGGATCTTGCAGAGATGGAGAAAAACCTTTGTGGTGACCTAAATACTATCCGCGATACTCTATCTTTCTTCCCATCTTTTGTCCTTACGAATTCTTTTTCAAAGTAAACTACACTCTTATTGACTTTCAAAATACACCACCGATGTTTCTCAATGTTTTCCTTCAACTCTTCCTTTTTCTCTCTCATTTCCAGTGTTTCGACTTTCAGATTGTTCTTCATTTCTCTTCAATTAATATTTCCATCGTAAGAAAGATGATTAACCCTTTCAGCTGGTCAAGGTGAG